TTGTATTTTTTAGTAGAGACGGGGTTTCACCGTGTTAGCCAGGATGGTCTCGATCTCCTGACCTCGTGATCCGCCCATCTCGGCCTCCCAAAGTGCTGAGATTACAGGCTTGAGCCACCGCGCCTGGCCTATTTTTTTTTTTTTTAAGGAATAAGTTGCATATAGTAAAATGGACTCTTCTTAGTGGAACTTTCTGCAAGTTTTGACAGATGCATGTGGTTGTACACTCATCACAGCAGTCAGACACTGAACAGCCCCATCATGCCCGTGTCGCCCGTGCCCCTTTCTAGTCAACCCCTTCCCCTGCCCCAGCAACCGGTATCTATTTTGTCTCTACAGTTTTGCCATTTTTAGCCAAAATATTCTTTTTCTAGAATGTCACAAAAATGGACTCACAGAGCTTACAGTCTCTTGTGTCTGAGTTCTTCCCCTTAGCACGATGCATTTGAGACTGGTCCACGGCACGGCCTCTGTCAAAGGTTTTGTCTGTCTGCTGCCCAGCGGCGCTGCGTGGCAGGGACCCCACGGTTTCTCTATCCGCTCCCCAGGTGTGGGACATCAGGGTCGTAGGTTTTTGCCAATTGCAAATAAGCTCTCTACAAACATTCACACACAGGTTTTTGCGTGAATTTAAGTTTTCGCTTCTTTTGGCAGATACCTAGGAGTGGCATTGGTGGGTGTCTGGCGTTGCTGCTGAGCGTTTCGCTGGTGGCCGTGCCATTCTGCATCCCCAGGGGCAGCACTGGAGTTCCAGCTGCTCCTCACCGGCACTTGCTATTGTCAAACTTTTTGTTTTTTGTTTATAATTTAGCTGTTCATATAGGTGTGTAGTGGTGTCCCACTGTGGTTTTAACTGACATTTTCTTCATCTCATGTTTAATGATGCTGAGCATCTTTTCATGTGCTAATTTCTCATCCACATATCTTCTCTGGTGAAGCATTTGTTTAGGTCTTTTGCCCTTTTTTTTTTGGATGGAGTTTCACTCTCGTTGCCCAAGCTGGAGTGCAGTGGTACAGTCTCGGCTCACTGCAAACTCCGCCTCCCAGGTTCAAGCGATTCTCCTGCCTCAGCCTCCCGAGTAGCCGGGACTACAGGCGCCTGCCTCCATGTCCAGCTAGTTTTTATATTTTTAGTAGAGACGGGGTTTCGCCACGTTGGCCAGGCTGGTCTCAAACTCCTGACCTCAGGTGATCCGCCCACCCCGGCCTCCCAAAGTGCTGGGATTACAGGTGTGAGCCACCGTGCCTAGCCTTTTGCCCATTTTTTGACTGGGTTATTTTCCAGTTAAATTTTGAAAGTTACATAGTTTGAATACAAATTCTTTATCAGATTTGTGATTTGCTAATGCTTTCTGCCAGTCTGTGGCTTATCTCTGCAGTCTCTTAATAGTGTCTTTCAAACAGCAGACGTTCTTGGTTTTGGTGAAGTCCAGTTTACAATTTTTAAACCATGGGCCATAGTTTCAATGTTATGTCTAAGAAGAACCTTTGCCTCACCTAGGGCCACACGTTCTCTCCTGTGTTTTTTCCGGGGGGGAGTTTTATATTTTTAGGCTTAACTTTTAGGTACATGATCTATTTTGATAATTTTTTGTTTATAGTATGAGGAACGAGTTAAATTTAAATTGGAGGGGGCGTATTAGTCTGTTTCATACTGCTATAAAGAACTGCCTGAGACTGCGTAATTTATAAAGGAAAGAGGTTTAATTGACTCACAGTTCCACCTGGCTGACGAGGCCTCAGGAAACTTACAGTCATGGGGGCTGGAAGGGGAAGCAGGCACGTCTCACATGGTGGCAGGAGAGAGAGGGGTGAGAATGCATTTATAACAGCATCAGATCTCATGAGAATTCACTCACTATTATGAGAACAGCATGGGGCAATCACTCCCATAATTCGGTCACTTTCCTCTCTCCACACGTCGGGATTACAATTTGAGATGAAACCTGGGTGGGGACACAGAGCCAGACTATATGAGGGGGCTTGTGTTTATCCAATTGTTATGGCCTCACTTCTTGAAAAGACTGTTCTTTCTCCAAGCAATTACCTTTGCACCTCTGTTCAAAACCAGTCGACTATAATTGTGTGTCTATTTTTGGATTATCTTGTTCCATTGGGTTTCTGTCTCTGTCCAACACCACACTGTCTTGTTACTGTACTTTATATTAATCTTGAAATCAGGTAGTGTAAGTCCTTGAAATTTGTTTTTTCAAAATTGTTTTGGTCACTTCAGGTCCTTTGGATTTCCATATGAACGTTACAATCAGCTTGTCAATTTCCATTAAAAAATCTTCCTGGAATTTTGGTTGGAACTGCATTCATCCATAGATAGTTCTGGGATAATTCACATTTTAATGAAGTGTTCCAATGGTTCGTTCCCACAGTATAGAAAATACTATACTATGCTTGATGGCCAGGCGTGGTGGCTTACGCCTGTAATCTTAGCACTTTGGGAGGCTGAGATGGGTGGGTCACTTGAGGTCAGGAGTTTGAGACCAGCCTGTGTGATGCAAACTGTCTCACGCAGACTGCAGAGAATACCATCCAGGCTGAAAGAGTGTGGGTGAGTGGCCAATGCACAGGCAGCCTCCCTCAGAAGAGCACAGCTTTGGCTCAGCATGCAGGGAATTCCACGAGAAACATGGCTCACTGCAACCTCCACCTCCTGGCTTCAAGAGATTCTCCTGCCTCAGCCTCCAGAGTAGTTGAGACTACAGGTGCCTGCCACCATTCCTGGCTCATATTTTGTATTTTTAGTAGAGATGGGGTTTCACCATGTTGCCCTGGGTGGTCTCGAACTCCTGAGCTGAGGCGATCCACCCGCCTTGGCCTCCCCAAGTGCTGGGATTACAGGCGTGAGCCACTGGGCCCGATCAAGGTGTTTCCAGTTCTGAGGCCAATTCGAAGGCCAGGGGTATTGTAATGAGTAGAGAAGAAAATAAAGAGAGAGGATAAAAGGCCAGAGTATAAAATAAAAAAAAAAAGAAAAGAAAAGAAACAAAAAAGACCAATGTAAAGCACAAAATAAGATGGTAGAAATGGATCCACATGTATCAATCATCACAACACATTTAAATAGATTAAATGTTCTAAAGAAAGTCAAAGACTGTCACTGGATAAACAGACCAAAACTGTATAACATATTGATGAAAGAAAGAAAAGGAAGAGAGAGAGAGAAAGAGAGAGAGAGAGAAGAAAAAAAGAAAAGAAAAGAAAAGAAAAGAAAGACCTAGTTAAATGGGGAGATAATGGTTATGAATTAAAAGACTCATTTTTTTTTTTTTTTTTTGAGACAGGGTCTCTCTGTTGCCCAGGCTGCAGTGCAGTAGTGCAATCACAGCTCACTGCAGCCTCAACCTCCTGGGCTCAAGCTATCTTCCTGCCTTAGTCCCCCAAGTAGCTGGGACTACAGAGGCGCATCACCACACCTGGCTAATTAAAAAAAAATTTATTAGAGATGGGGTCTCCTTATGTTTCCCAGGCTGGTCTCAAACTCCTGAGCTCAAGCGATCCTCCTGCCTTGGCCTCCCGAAGTGCTGGGATTACAGGTGTGAACTGCCGCGCCCAGCCTCAATACTGTTAAGATGTCAATTCTCCCCAAATTGATCTATAGATTCAATGCTATGCCAATTAGATTCATGCTATGCTTTTTGGTAGAAATAAAAAAGCCGATTCTACAATTTATGTGGAAATGTAAAGGACCTAAACTATCCTGAGGTCCTAACGCAAATATTGTGAAGAAAATAACGAAGTTGGGTGACTTACACCACCTGGCTTCAAGGCTTTGTCTGAGTCCATGATAACCAAGACAATGGCTCTGGCATAAGAATAATTAAATGGATCAATTAATCAGAAAAAAGAGGGAAGAACTGTATAAGCTCATGCTTATATGGTCAATTGACTTTCTTTTTTTTTTTTTTGAGACAGCGTTTCACTCTCATAGACGAGGCTGGAATGCAATGGCGCAATCTCGGCTCACTGCAACCTCCGCCTCCCAGGTTCAAGCAATTCTCTTGCCCCAGCCACCTAAGTAGCTGGGATTACAGGCACCCGCCACCACGCCTGGCTAATTTTTTGTATTTTTAGTAGAGACGGGGTTTCAGCATGTTGGCCAGGCTGGTCTCAAACTCTTGACCTCAAGTGATCCGCCTGCCTCGGCCTCCCAAAGTACTGGGATTACAGGTGTGAGCCACTGTGCCTGGCTAGTCAATTGATTTTTGGCACGGACAATGAATGGATCGAATGGATAGCAGAGTCCACTTGTGCCGTGGAATACACGAACACGCGCCGGGGAAATGAACCTCAGCCCCGACTTCCACCACAAGCAGGAGTGAATTTGAGGTGGATCATACACCTCAACACAAAAGCGATGTCCTATGTCTTTATGACCCTGGAGGAGAAAAAATCGCCTAAAAAGCATAAAAAACAAATTCCAATAGAAACGATTGGTAAATATGCAAAGACTGGACTGAAGAACTTTGATTTGAGAAAAGACATCATAAAGGGAGAGGAAGGCCCAGCCACAGACTCGAGGCAGCACCTGCAACATTCCTCAGGGACGAGGGCTGGAATCCGGGTGCATGAAGAGCTCCTATGAATGAATGAGAAGAAGACAAACAACCCCACAGAAGAACGAGGGAAAGCCTTAAACAGAGATGCCACACCAAAGAAAACACAACTTGTAAATGGGCCCATGGAAAGACACGTAATCTCATTGGTGATCTGCGAAATCACAAAGCAACATCTCAACGGCAGACTGGTGCAGACCCTCCAGACAGGCAGCCCCAGGCTGTCTGACCTCGCCCTCCTGAGGACGTGACACAAGGCCCTCAAGCCCAGTGTGGCCCTGTAGGGCCCTCTGTGACCAGGCAGAGCTGGGCTTCCGGGCTGTCCAGGTCACTGTGGAGCACGTGAAATGTGGCCCTTGTGGAGGAGGACCTGAATTTTCACTATTATTTAATTTGGATCAATTTAAGTTTAAACAGCCAGATATGGCAGTGACGGCCAGGCGCGGTGGCTCAAGCCTGTAATCCCAGCACTTTGGGAGGCCGAGACGGGCAGATCACGAGGTCAGGAGATCAAGACCATCCTGGCTAACACGGTGAAACCCCATCTCCACTAAAAAATACAAAAAGAAACTAGCCGGGCGAGGTGGCGGGCACCTGTAGTCCCAGCTACTCGGGAGGCTGAGGCAGGAGAATGGCGTAAACCCGGGAGGCGGAGCTTGCAGTGAGCTGAGATCCGGCCACTGGACTCCAGCCTGGGCGACAGAGCGAGACTCCGTCTCAAAAAAAAAAAAAAAAACCAAAGAAAAAACAAAAAAAACAGATATGGCAGTGACAGTCACACTGAACAGCACAGTCTTGTACACTGTTGATGGGAGTTTAAACTTACACGACCACTTTGAAAAAGAACTCGGTGGGCTGGGCGAGGTGACTCATGCCTGTAATCCAGCACTTTGGGAGGCTGAGGTGTGCAGATAGCATGAGTTCAGGAGTTCAAGATCAGCCTGGGAAACATGGTGAAACACTGTCTCTACAAAAAATACAAAAACTAGCCAGGTGTGGTGGTGTGTGCCTGTACTCCCAGCTACTCAGGAGCTGAGGCAGGAGGACTGCTTGAGCCCAGGAAGTCGAGGCTGCGGTGAGCTGTGACTACACCACTGCACTCCAGCCTGGGCGACAGAGTGAGACCCTGTCTCCATAGAAAAAGAACTCACTTTGATATTAGCTGATGCCAGTGAGGCTGGCTATGCCCTGTGATGCCGGCATGAACCCCAGCCCCGTGCCCTGTGGGAACTCACACACAGGCCTGAGGGGAAGTGCAGAGTGGCTGCGTTTGCAACAGTGTGTACCACAAACGCTCCCAAGCGTGCGCTGGCAGGACGACGGATCTAGAACCTGAGGCTCTCTCAGGAAAGGAAACGCCACGCAGTGGTGAGGACAGGAAGTGTGGCTCACACCGGAAGTGTGGCTCACGCCGGAAGTGTGGCTCACACCGGCTGTGGAGAACTGGCCCAGCTCCACCCTGCGCTGCAGGGCACGCGGAACTCGCACCACGCGAAGACAGACAGGAGGAGCCCAGAGGCTTGTGGATCTCGATGTGTATGTGGGAAAACGATCAAGAGAAGCAAGGAGGAGACGCAAGTGATTCCCGACGGCGGCGGGGTGGAGGGCCGGAGGCGTGGGGAGGGTAGGACCCGCCTGTTTTCTTGGCGCCTCTTCCCGCTGGTGCAAATCTAACAACAGCCACAGCTGTGGAGCTAGACAGAAGCCCCTGCAGCCCGGCCTCTCCAGGGGGCACCGCAGAGCCTCTTCCCCACCCCGTGTGGCCCGTGCTGGGCCTGCTGGGCCGATGCTGGAGGGGCCTGCAAGTCTGTTAGTGTCAACGTGAGCACACCTGTCAGCGCGCTCCAAAAACAACACTTAGTGGCACATACGAATATTTTCTTGCTTAACTGTCACTGAACATCGAAGGCCTGGGGAAATTCTCTCCTTTCCAATCCTCCCCTGGGCCCCTCAGCCCCCTGGAATGCTGCCCTGGGGCCCTCGCTGCCCGCCCACCCTGCCTTGGCCTGGCAACCTGGCTCACCTGTGGGCTGCTCCTCCTCCTGCTCCTCGTCCAGCTTCTCCAGCTCCTTCCGGCTCTGCATGTCCGCCTGGGAGGACTCTGTGCCCTCTAGCTGCTGCTCAGATATGCTGGTGGCAGCTTTGTCATACAAGCTTTTATCTTCGTAGGTCAGGATGCTGCTCTGGAGAGGAGAATCAACGTCCTGGCTTGGGAGGTTTCCCACCTCCTTCCCCCAGTCAGCTGCCCAGACTCCCACGAGCACAGGCCGTGTCAGGGGCTGGGCCCTGGCTCCAGCGTGGCCCCTCAGCTGCCTCCTCGGCTGCCTGCTCTCGTCTCACCCGTCCTGGTTGTGGGATCACAGCAGCAGCTCACCCAGAGGCTCAGGGTCACCCCTCAGCCTCCCTTGCTCTAGGCCGGGTGGGCATGGCTGTGCTGCCCCAGCCTGGGAGCGTGAGCTGCATCTTCCTCTTGGTCCGATCCTCCTTCCTCCTCGGCTGGCTAGAGGCTGAGCCTTCTCTCCACCTGAGGCCTGAGATACCCACACCCGGGATGGGACAAGACGCGCTCACACTTGGAACCGGTGCAGCTGCAGCCATGGAATGTGACTGTCCAGCCCTCCCACCCCCACGCCTGGGGCTTCAGAGACGTGTCGGGGGAGGCTGGGTCTCCTGGGGCGCTCAGGCCTGGAGCTGCTGGCCAGCGCCCCTGCTGCTATGTGCCTGAGAAAGGGAGTGTCCTGCTGCCGCTGCCCCTGAGGCCAGGTGACCAGGTGTCCTGTGGAAGCTGGTCTCTTCTGCTTAGGCTGATTTGAGGAGGCCCCCACACTGCCCTCCTCCCAGGCCCACTGTTGACATCCTCATATTGTCACCCCTGTTCACCCACATGGCACTGGATTTGGGGAGCAGGGCCCCACACTCCCCCATGGCTGAACGGCACACTCACTAATTTCAGGATGGACTGGGAGTCGTCCGTCTCGCAGGGCTCTGAAGCTGGCAGGAACTTGAAACTCGTGCCCAAGCCCCCAGTGTTGGTCAGTGTGATGGTCCGAGACGTGGTCTCTCCCACCACGTAGCTGCCGAAGTCAATGAGCTCCTTGTCGAGGGACAGCTGCCAGAGGACACAGAGTGAACCCAGGGCCACTGTGCCAGGCCCACAGGGTGCCCAGCGCGAGAGCTGCACGTGGCTCCAGGCAGGGCTGCCGTGAGCATTTGTGCGTGTTGTGCACTGCACAAGCAGGTACACAATTCAACCCGGAAGTCAGGCGTGTATTGCTCATGACAAGGTGCGGCAGGCAAGTCTGGTTTTAGGAACATCAAGTCAGGAACCCCCTTGCCAAGGAGTAACAAGGGTTCGGTGAGAGGACGCAGGGCCTAGACAAGGAGCCGGACATGGGACTCTGGAGCTCCTGAGTGTGGATATGGTGTCATTCCTGGGCGTGGTCAGCCGGACTCTGGATGCAGGGACCCAGGGAGTGTCCTTCCAGAGCGGGAGCACGCCCTCCATGGTGGTGCCTCACCATGCCCGTCGTGGGCCACAGGCCACAGAAGCTCTGGCGCTGGCTAAGGATGCAGGCCTGGGCCACACCTCGGCTCTGCCCAGGGGCCCCACCTCGGGAGGCTTTTCTGGGCCCTGAGTTTGGAGTGCCAGGGGCTCCCCACTCTGTGCTCCTGCTCCAGGGGCAGGACCAGGGGCCGCCGACGCAAATGGACGTGGTTCACAGAGGGCGGCCGGGGTCCAGCCAGGGGAGGCCGCCTCCTTCCCCCTGCGCCGCCTGGGCCCTGCTCTCCCCTCGTTCAGACAGGGCTTGACTGTTTTTACAGTCCCCAGCCTGGACGCTCCCCTGGGAGAAGCAAGCCCCTACTCAGGGGAGCCGAGGGTCTCGGTGCTCCTGTCACAGAGGAGCACTTGACACTGCAGAGATCAAACGCGGGAGAGGCCGGGGCAGCTCTGGCCAGGACACCCAGGGCCACGCTGGGCACGTGCTCCGTGACGCTGATCCGGAGTGGAGCCGGCCAGCACCAGACTCCTGCTGCGCTCCCAGGCTGAGCAGGAGAGAGCCGGAGCCCGGCCGTCGCTGGGGCGGGGACTTCCTGCTGCCCCAGCCCTGGTGCTCCATGTCCTGGGCCTGAGTGTTGGTTCACCAAGAACCCGCACAGCGGAGTTGCCGCCTGGACCGCGACTGCTCTGAGAAGAAGGCGGCAGCCACAGGGCAAGGGGCTGCTCGGGCGCCCTAGGACGGTGGCGGTTCCTGCATGAACCCCAGCGGGGCCACGGTTGCCAAGGCCACGGCAAGGCCACTTGAGTGCCGAGAGGAAGGGAGACTAAAGTGACTGGAACACACTAAATATGCAAACGTCGGCGAATCTGCGAAGAAACTGAGAGGAAAACACTTCTCTCTCCACCACCATCAGTGACTCTGATTGCAGCAGCCCCTCCCCACGGCGACACGCGGCGAAGGCGGAAGCACACGACAGAGAAAGTTACACGGTGCTCATCAAAGGTGGCTGGGGGCAGCGTGGCCTGGACCACGGGCGACCATGAGGGCGTCTGCTGATCTTGCTGGGGGTGGGGGAACACAGCGCGGCCTCTGCCCTTCACCTGCCCCAGCTTGTTCCTCCTCTAATGCAAGGATGGGCCTCTCCCTGTCCCGCCGACGCAGGCCTGGGCTGTGGGACTTGCCTTGGCCCGTGAATTCTTAGGAGATATGATGTCCCCACCGTCCTCTGGGAGATGCTCGTGCTGCCGTAGCTGCCGCGCTGGAGTCCAGCCGGGACAGGGCCGGCCGCAGGGGGCCTCACACTCGCAGCTGAGCCAGGAGCCGCTTGCTGTGTGGCAGGTGCGGTGCGAGCTGATTACTCGGCAGGCGTGGGCGAGGGGGGGTGAACAATGGTGTGTGGGTTTCTGGTTTATTGGAGATGCATGCTGAAGTTTCTGAGGGTGAAGCGTTGACATTTCACCAATGTACTTTGAAATGGATCAGCAACAGATACAGCAGTTGCTGGACCAAGCAAAGGTGTCCGAGGCCGACAATGTGGGATTTGGGACGATGCAGGGTCCAGGATGATGTGGGGTCTGGGTTGTAGGCACATGGAGCCTCGTTCTGCTGTTCTGTTTTCCACTATGCTTGAAATTTTTCTTAATTAAAAATAATCAAGGGTGACCCCCTTCCAAGAGCTGTAGGAAGGACTGGAGCCTTCTCAGATGGAGGTTAAGGTTTCCTCTGAGGCACGGGCCCTGCAGTCTGGGATCCACACGGAGCAGGGTTTGTCTCATTTTTCCAGCGCTGGTCCGAGTGCCCCACGTTCGAGACCCCCACCCAAGGTCCGGCTCAGGCCCACCTAAGCTGCTGTTGGAAGAAGGGGCTCGGCCCCTGGTGGAGATTGGAGCCTCCTCCTGGTCCCCACCCTACCCGCACCCCCTCCCAGGAGATGCCGTCCCACTGGGGTTCCCAGCCAGGATGCCCCGAGAAATGCTGGCTCGGACACCTTTGAACTCACCGAACATTTCTTTGTTGAACATTTCAATGGAACTGAAAACTCGCCCGTCTGAGCCAAAAATGAGATATTTCCTTCTAGATCTTTGTTTATCTAAGAAATAAAACGACCCCAACCACCATAAACTTCTGTAACTTTTGTGTGTTTTCTTTCTTTTTTTGGACAGGGTCTGGCTCTGCTGGCCAGGCTGGGGTGCAGTGGCACCTTCTCGGTTCACCGCAACCCCCCTCCACCCACCCGCACCTGGGGTCCAAGCGATCCTCCCACCTCAGCCTCTTGACTAGCTGGGATTACAGACATGCGCCACCACACCTGGCTAACTGTATTTTTTGTAGAGACGGGGTCTCGCCATGTTGCCCAGGCTGGTCTTGAGCTTCTGGGCTCAAGCGACCCTCCCACCTCGGCCCCCCGAAGCGCTGGGATTACAGGCATCAGCCACCACTCCCGGCCCTTCTGTAACTTAAGCCCGTGACACGTGCTGTGGCTGCCTGGGCTGGGGCCACCTGCCACCCGCCCAGCTCGGGTGACCCCAGGGGAAGGAGTCTGCAGAGGGTATCTCAGGAGGGCCGCACACCGGCAGGGCTTCCTAGAACATCCCAGCCCTCCTGACTTAGACCCGAGAGTGCACGCCCTCGGCCACTAACGCAGAGGAGCTGCGCTGCGGTTCTGCCCGACATTTCAGGAATACGTCGAGTGTATTTTTGGGACTAAAACAGCAAAACGGGCCTGCGTGATCCTCACTGAGAGGCCAAGTGCATCCTTCCTCCATCACGGTCTGCACCACCACGCCCGATCACGGGCTCCACCCACCGCCATCTCTCCTTTGAGAGAGAACGGCCCCTTTGACTCACCATGGGCTTGAAGGTGACAAGCACTTCGCAGGACATCCCGGCGGACAGGGGGCCCGGGGGGTCAAAGCTGCAGGACATGACCCATAGCACACGGGGGTTAGAGCTGCAGAGGGTGAACGCTCGCCTCGCCACCCGGAGCGCAGTCAGGCTGGGTCTCCCGGCCTCCTCCCCGCCCCGGCCCTGCACCTTGGCCTCCTCCCCGCCCCGGCCCTGCACCTCTGCCACCTTCACTCAGGGGAGAGCTGGGTCTGCTGTGTTCCCTGCTGACCCCGGTACCTGGCAGGCAGGGGACGCTCCAGTGTGTGCGAATATTTGTGGAGTGAGGGAGTTAATCAATGAAGGCGTGAGGCAAGTCCCCAGGCCAACTGCCAGGAAGTGGGACCCCGTGGCTCAGTGAGGGCCACAGTTCCCCTGGGCACAGGTGCCAGGCCTGGGACCAGGGCTCTAGGGCTTTGATACCAATATGGGGCCAGGGGCCTGTGGGCAGGAGCCAGGAAGAGATCTGGAACTGGGAGCCCTGAGACAGCCGGGACCCTCGACCCTCTCAGCCTCTTTCAGGGAAAGAACCAGAAAAACAGCCCCCACTGCACAGGCCCTTCGAGGGAGCTGGTCTGTCTTGGCCCAGATCAGGGTGAGCATCTCCCCAAGGAATTCCTGACGCCAGGCTGATTTCACAAGGTTGGATTTTACCTAATGTGCTTGGTTTGGAAATGCGCAAGCTACAGTTTTAGTGTAAAAGTGTGTCCCTGGCTGGCAACGTTCCCGCGGCACCAGGAGAAGCAAAACCCGAAGCTCCTCCGATTGGGAGGGAAACGCTTCGGTGCCAACAGCACAGAGCCCGGGACGGAGCCGCCGGGGAGAGCAGCGAATCCGAGGGTGGATGTGCGCGCCTCACACACCAGCACAGCAGAGTGCAGGGCCGAGCTCCAGACGCTTCAGACGACACGAGTGTGGAGCGGAGAAGTTAGAGGACGTGTGGATAAAACGGTTAGAGACAGAAATAGAGAATTCCAGACGTGAGAAAAGAACAAGACACTGTCAAGAAATGCAGACTCATCCAAAACAGAGCTTGGCATTTTTAGAAATGAGAGACAGGGCAGCTGAGTAAGAAGCTCACTAAGCAATCTCAACCGTTGATTAGCAGCACTAAGGGGACAAGGGGTGAACCGAGCGGCACCTAGAGCACCACCCAATGTGAAAAAGAGACAAGAAATTTCCCACCCGATGGGGAGGTTTCAAAAGGAGGAGCAGGAGGGCAGAGTCGGAGAATGAATAGGGGAGGGGCAAGGCCGCAGGGGCTGGGGCTGAGAAGTTCCCAAAATTGTTCATAGATCTGAATCTTCAGATTCAAGAGTACAATGAGGTCTAAGAAAAATCAGCCCACACCGACGCACAGCGGAGCTGCAGGACGTTAAGGATGAGAGAATCTCGGAGCAAGCAGGAGGAAAGCCAGGTATCCTCCAAAAAAACCAGCACCTGGACCGAGGCCACCTCTCACTCCAGCAACCAGAGACAGAGGGCAGGAGACTGGTGGCCTCAGCCTGTCCATAAGAAGTTCTCATCCCAGCACGGGGAGGAGTGCCTCGGTGGCTGAGAGCACAGCGACCACCTAAACCCACCTCTGCACGCGGCCCCTAGAAGCCACATGGATCAATAAGAGAAACAGGTAGGCCACAGAAATCCCAGGCCTGCAGCGTGACTAGAGGACACAGAACCCCCTAGACTTAAAAGTAACCGTAAGGTGAAAAGCAAACACCGACCCCCAGCATGCACTCTCCATGCCCGCCTTCACAGAGCGCTACACGGATCTGAAAAACTGCAGGGAAGCGAGGAAGGAGGTGGGAACAAAGACGCTAAGGCTGACCTAAAATCAGCTCCCCAAAGAGAACGTCACAGCCTCCACGGGAAGACACCAAGTCCTAGCGAGCCAGTGCTGATGTCAGGGAGGGGCCATCAGAGCCCATGCACCCCTCGCCCCTGGGGCAGCCTCAGGAAGATGCCTGGTGGGAGAAGAGGAGGCCCCTCTGGAACCTGGGCAGCAAGGGGGGAATTAGGATCCTGCCCTTGCTGACCCTCATTTGAGAAGCTGCACTTCACAATGCTCCCAGGAGTGGAAACTCCTGAACTGGGAATCTGAAAGCCACCCCAGACCTACAAACCTGTCCACAAAGAGAAAACTGGCAGGAAACAGGAAGTAGAAGAGAAAGAACTTTCTTAAAAATAAAGTAAGTTAGGCTGGGTGCTGTGGTTCACGCCTGTAATCCCAGCACTCTGGGAGGCTGAGGTGGCTGGATCACCTGAGGTCAGGAGTTCATGACCAGCCTGGCCAACACGGTGAAACCCCGTCTCTACTAAAAACACAAAAAATTAGCCAGGCGTGGTGGTGGGCACCTGTTATCCGAGCTACTCAGGAGGCTGAGGCAGGAGAATCGCTTGAACCCGGGAGGCGGAGGTTGCAGTGAGCCAAGATCGCA